ATTTATATCACTGGCATGCAGTGATGCACATACGGGGGCGGGGGTCGAGTCCAACCGCCCTTCCCATCCCTGAGACAAAAAAAAGAGATATTATTGATGAATTGTAATATATTTCTAGTTTCTAACTGTACTAATCTTTATTGTTTTGGTTCTCGTGTGTATTGCACTCTTGGCAATTAGCTAGAAAACCATCTAAAACGTTTGCACTATTGTTATATGCCACCATGCCGATGATACATATGCATTACCAATAAATTACCAGTGCATATAATACACACTATATAGACCGAGATATTCACAGAGCCTCCTTCTGATGTTGGTTTTAACAAGAAAAAAAAGATCGAGATATTAATGAATTATACTATACTATAAAGTCAAAGGAGAACCGTGTTAAAATTGTACGGGCCGTTTCCGCGGCTTCAGTGTCGGCCTGGCCATGGATACTAAGCCGGCCCCCGACCGTATTTGTGTCTAGCGGCCCCGGATATTAGACAAAAAAGTCCGGGGAAAAAAAGACCGAGGAAAAAAAGTCCGAATCAACGAAAAAAAGTCCGGGAAAAATTATTTAAATATATATTAATTATTAAATTAAAAGATAATTGGTTCTTAAAAACTATTAAACAAAAATGTTTTATTAAGCTTAGTTATTATTTTCAAATAATATGTTTTAATCGCTCTGTATCTATACTCAAATTTACTTACTATAGAGTATAGACACAGGTTTATAACCAATGATATCTCAATTAGGGCCTGTATTTCCATATAAAACTAACGAGTAACATTACTATACTTATCTAGTATACCTATACGATATATATATATAGCACTAGAAGTCAACCGCGTGTCATGGGCCATAGCAGTGTTAACAGTAATAGTGAAATACATACTTTTATAATAATGGATAGTGTAAAATTAATAAAAAATGGTAAAAAAATTATTTGTGGTGGATTTGCATATATAATCCAGCATAAACTAGTAAAAAGCATAAGATGGAAATGTTCCCAGAAGTCTTCGAAAAAATGTCCTGGTATATTGACTACCAACAGAGGTAAATATAACCTGCAAAAAAAAAAACTGGTAAATTCATCGGTAAACTTACCAGGTATAAATTTACCGATCATACATCTCTACCTAAACGTATAATATTGCTAGATAGGCGATACCTAAAAAAAATAAGTTGGTTAAAATACTGACTTGGTGCATTATTTATTTTTTTTACGAATTTAGTAGGTGCCTATTATAGTTTTATAATACCATAGATGTAAAGTTGCTTATTAATTTTAAAGTAAATGTACAATATTCTAAAAAAAATGTTAGTTTGTTATATTTTCCAATATTTTCAGGACTATTTTATAAATAAGTAAAAATAAAACTAATCCAACAAATGTTTGATTTTTAATAATAAAATATGTAAGTTGGTATTTACTATTTTCTTCCTCTACTATAGTCTGAACCAGTGGCGTATTTAGGTTTTTGTCATGGGGTGGGGGGGGGATATGATTTTATCCAGTAGCCCCGCCATTAAAGTTGGAGGTTTTAAGTTAGGACTCCGAAAAATGCTTATGTTATGCACAGCCAATGGTTAGGCCCATCCCCTTGATCCCCTCCGTAAATACATCACTGATCTGAACCAAGTTATTTTCAAAGCTATTTTAATTTTTAATATTGTTTACTACATATATGAATTTTACATTTGTATCATTTTCTAGTTGTACCCTAAGTCCCTAACTGTAGCTCAGTTATTATTTATTAAAAACAAATCAATAATAATATCATACAGCCATATAATAGGTAACCATATGGGTAGGTAGGAATTAAAGAAGATATACAATGTTATAATTTATGTAAAAATAAATTAAATATCATTAATAATATTACAAACGAAGACGGTATAATTTTACTGAATCAAAAGCAGAAATTTTAATTGAGTTAAATGACTTTTTTTTATTAAAGTTGGGATGTTGGAAATAATTTATAAATTGAGCACATAAATCATGATATTTCCTTAAATGATTATAATGGAACTATAATGGATAGTATCTTCTTTAAACCCATTAATAGTGAAGAAATTGTATTATAGAACACCTAAATCATATTACTGATTAAAATTTTCTTATGAAAATGATTTAACTAAATACATAGGTACATAAAAAAACTTCCGAATACCATTGTCAATTATTTTTTAATCAATTTCCATATTAACTGGTTAATACCCTTCAGATTTTAAAAAGATGTGTTGTAATTCCATCATTTAAGGCTGGTAATCATGTGGAAATTATCGACCAATTTCATTATCTACATTGTCATACATTTTTGAAAAATGCATAAAAAATAGATTACTTTTAAATAAAAATAATTGTTTTTCTAACAAAAAATTTGGTTTTAGATCTGTAACAGTTTGGCTAAACTGCTAAACTGGTAGGTATTTAAGGTTACCTACCATGTTACTGTGTATATTTTGTATTATGTTGTGAATTGCAATGGTTATTGATGCTTACAAGTTGCTTAATAAATAAAAGAGGTATGTTAATTCATGTTTATTCAATGTGTGTAATATTATTAATATTATATTAATAACTTAGTTAGGAAAAATATTGACAAGAACTATAAGGTTGTAAATTATAAGGTACATGCATCTTCTTAGGTTCCTATATACAAAAAGCCTTTGATTATGTTTAATTTTTTTAGGTTCAGTTAGAAAAATTAGAGCTAAATTTAAAAAATAAAAATTTGCTATAATGCACAAGAGATTGATAATATTTTAAATGAAAACAGTTTGAAAGTCCATTCTCTAAAATGCGTTTCAATGTGTCTAACTTAAAAATTTGAAAAAGTTAAAATACCTTGGTCTAGTTATTGATTATAAGACTTAAATGGGATGGTCAAATTAAATATATTAACAATATTATACATAAAATATTTTTTTATTTTTTCAGAGAACTAAGAAGTAAAATACCTAATATATTGTATAATAATTTATATAAAATAATGATTTATCTATCTTTAGTACCTACAATCAGTCTATTCTTTCGGTATTACAATATGGGGAGGAACTTTAAATTGTTATCTAGATTAATAGTTAGGTACTATAAAGTCCATTATAATGAACATGATACAAGATTTTAACATTGATAATATTAATCTACAATTATCATATTATTGCAATAAAGTTTTTGGCCAAAAAAGTGTTTTATAATTTATATAGAGGTTTGAAATAATGTCAAGCGTTAAAATATTAATGTACACAATTATTATAATTTGAAATATTTAAATAATTTTTATATTTCAAAAGCCATGTTACTATGTTAGGCGTTTGGATAAATCTATTTTTAAAATTAAAAATTGTTATTTTTAACATTAAATACTGTATTAAGTAGGTATATTACATTTTAAATATATTATAATATAGGTAGGTACCTACTTTATTTTTATTCTTAATTCACCTGATTATTGTACTAAAACATTAGTTTATAGTGCATTTTAAATTAGTAGGTACTAATAATTAATATTATAGGTACCTACTATTAAATATTAAAATAAATTAATAATGACCGCTTCCCAGCACAAGCTTAGCTTACAGGGATTGCTGCAATATACTAATTTTAAATTAATCATTTATAAAATGTATAATCTGCTATTATTGCATTAAAGTTAATATCATTGTTATGCACAAATTAAACAGAAAATATGTTTCAACTCGTTGCAAAGTAGGTACTTTTATAAACTAGTAATTATTAATTTGTATTCATTTTATAAGAGAATCATACAAAACCCATTTGTATAATTTTTGGAGTATTTTTATTTGTTAATTAAAATGTGAAATAATTTTTTTTTTAATATGGAACACAGACGCAATGAATGCATATTTCATCTTTTTCATTCTAGCTCTATCAGTAGGTTCATAGAATTTAAATTGTGTTACATTTTTGTTAAAAGTAATGGTTTTATGCTAAAATCCATCAAAATTACTTTTACATATCAGTTATATTAATTTGTATTAATCTAACTATCAAAGTTTTTTTTTTATTATTATTATTATTGTCATGAAGATTTTAAATAACAAAACAATATTATTATACCATTGACATTGTATAGTTAAAAGTATATTGTTTAGTAATACAAAATATAGTTTTTATAAATTTTAACTTTCGTTTTGTTAGAATATAATATTTAAAAAAAAACCTTAAAATAAAACTGTGAAAAAAAATTGTCCAATAAAATATTTATAACATTATACATAACATAATATATTAATATTTTGAATGAATAAATCAACAAATTATCTTTAACAGTAAAAATATAAATTTCATTAATTATTTGGCTATTCACAAGAAGAAGACAAGTCAATTTACAAAAAAAAATTAAAAACTGTCAAAAAAAGAACTTAAAACGAAAACCGTTAAAAAATAAACAAATAAAAATTATAATTAAAGAAATAATATTTTAACAATAACAACATAAAAATATATAAATTCAATAAAGGGCTCTGCGTAAGAAGCAGACAAGTCCAATACAAAAGTAAAAAATAACAATCATATAGGTTATATTAATTAGGAACTTATTCAATATCTTCAAATACATCTGTGACTACTTCGTAGTGTGTGTTGTTTTGGTTTATTAAGTACAAACATTTTTCTCCTCGTTTTGGCTTATCTTTTAGATTAACATTTTTACTAAAAAGTTGCCAAGTGTGTGTTTGAGTACTAAATACATAAACTGAAGTATTGAAATAAATAGCAGCAGCAAATATTTCGGTGTCAGTGCCCCAAACTCCTATTACAATCAGAAATAAGTTGTATTAATGGATGTATACTTGTATCTACTAATTTGGAATGAGTCATATTTACATACCTTCATTTTCTATTTTTTTTTTTTTTAAATAAGATTGCAGTTGTTCTTCTCCACACACATATCGCATTATTTTTTGATTTGTATTTACAATCTAAAATAAACAAGATTATTTATTATTAACAGTTAAATCATTGTTAATCATTAATTGTTTATATTACAGTGGCTATGTTTTGTCTAATGAATAAATGCTGCTCTTCGGTACCAGTTACAGCATACGAAAGAGCTCTGAAAAGACAATTTCCATCGCCAATAATATTTTGTATCGCACACGGATGATTCAAAATCTTAATTTTCAACTCAGTCTCCAAACTTTGCTTAAAATCAAGTTTAAGTGCCCTACACTTGGTCTGTTGCCAGCGTTTTCCAACTGGATTAAAATATCTTCCTTGGTCCTGCATTTGTAATGTCTGTTCACACTCAACATCCATACTTGTTTCTGAAGTCGTACTATTCGTTGGTTTTCGTTCATGATATAGTTTGATGTTTTTAAGTAAATTTTTGGTTTTCAGAATTTTATCTCCATTTTTCAATATACAAGAATTGTTACTAATAATTTTGTGAATTGTATAGGAACCAATCCATGGCATTAGTGCCCATCCTCCTTTTCGGTCTTCACGCCTCAGATTTTTTAATAAAACTTTATCTTCAACTTTAAAGACACTGTCCGCACGAGGGTGTCTTTTAGCATATGATATTTTCTGTAAACTCTGGGTAAACTTTGCTGAATGTTTTCTGACACATTTTCTTGAAGTTTGTCTAAACATTGAAAAAGTTAACTATTATGTATGTTGGTATACCTACATCATATCAAATCATTAAATAACTTTTATGTCACCATAATTCTAGAATACATTGTCTGTTGTCAAAATTAGGAGTAATTAATTTAGATTGGGAGTATTATGTTATAATAATAAGTAGGTATCCCTCAAAAATTGTTCAAGTTAATCTGATTTTTTTTTTTTTAATTTGTTTGGATTTTATGATAATATTAAAAAGAGACAATTTAAAAATGCCTTCCGAAGTTCTGAAAGGTATCAACAACCAACTCATGTTAAAACCATTACTAACTTATATATACCATCTAAGGTATAGACATTTTACAAAATATGAACAACAGAAGAATTAATATTTTAATTTATAATCAAACGTCCAACGGTTATTTAACAAATATATTTTGGAACGGACCTCTAAATTAGTTTTAATAATAAATTAACATAAATCAATAATATAAGGGGAAATGGAGTACTATTGTTCTTTTGTCTTTAGTATTATATTAAATATTTTTATCTAATACCAAAATACTAATTAGGTTGTAGTTAAATAAAATAATATAAATATGATGTACCTCTCATTGACAGCATACACTGCAAAGTTTCTTTAAACTTGTCTTCGTTAAATTCTCCTGTGAAGACCATTCGCTTGTGGATGGTACGGAGAAGTTACTTTATGAATAGTTCCGGTCAATTTGAACAATTCATCGCATAAATTATTACAAAATTCCCGACCCTGGTCGCTAATTTCAATTTTTGGACAGCCATGCCGACAAATTATCTCATCATAAATAAAATGAGCTACAGTAGTTGCTCTTTTATCGGACAATGGCCGCGCTTCACACCATTTACTAAAATAGTCAATGGCAACTGCTGCATATCGATACCCACTAGTTTCTGGCAATATAATTAGGTCGATGCCAATTTGCTTGAAAACCTAAATAATATAATATTTTAATAGGTAATTACTAAATAGTTTAATAATTTCAATAATTAGTTAAAAGTAATATACCATTTTTGGAACAGGAACTGGGTGTAGTTCAGGTACCACTTTTAGTGTAGCTGGATTGACACGTTGACAAATATTACATTCCATAATATATTGCTTTGTATCCATAGTCATCGAAGGCCAATAATACCGCTGGTTTAATAGATTAAATGTTGCATCCCTACCACGATGACTGGAAAGTGCAACTGCTTCTTCAGACTCAGGGGAACCTTCATGAACCATTTTCAGTATATTCATCCTTTCTTCATCATTCAATATTACACGGGCACAATATTTTTTATGATACAGAGTACCATTATCCTCATAGAATGGTTTTGTCTGTCTTCCAAAATTGGATTTTTCATTTTTATGTTGTATATTATTAGGGTATCCATGGCCTAACAAATATAGCAACACAGCACTTAAATTAACTGGCTCTAAAGGTTTTTCTCCAATTTTTGGTTGGGTGTTAGTGTCCTCCCATGGCCGAAACATATTGACAACAACTATAAATTAAAATAATTAATTACAAATGTATAAATTAGTAAAATTCTCATTCACTTATAATAAATAATAAATTTGATTGAGGCCATTAAATAACAATGTTTTCCAATTAATTTGAAGTTGTATGACATTTTTTGTTTAATTATGCAGGTATTGTGTTTTAGGTCACTGTAATGGATGTATGAAATTGGATTACATTGAGTTAGAATGTCTATAAAATAACTGTAAAATGGTAACCTATCATCAGACATTTTATCTATGAAATGAATATTTTAAACTAATTATAAAGATATTGGAACTTAATTTTTTTTTATTTGGTATTTTATCTACAATAATTGGATACCCGGATGTCCTAATTTGGTCATCAATGATTTTGATCTTATGAATACTAAGATTTTTCAATTTTGATTATTTTATATTGTTAAAGTGTAACAATACAAAAAATATAAATACAAATTGAATTCCACTTATTAATAACACATTTATAAAAATGCTTCTTTAATAAAAATTATTGAAACAATAATAATTAGAACACAACTTTTATCTGTATCTATTTCAAAAACTGAATTCAAGGTCACTTATAAGTCATAACTATATCTGTAATCAAGAAATCTATACATATGTCTTGACTTTTTTCTATTGAAATTTAAACTGAAAATTTGGACAAAATTAGATATTTAAACGAAGAAACATTTTTAGCTATTTTGTTGCAATTTAATATACATTATTATTTTATTTTATATGCCCAAGGGGCAAGTAAATAAAAATAAAAATAAATTCAATGCACAGTATTACTTATTTTAAAATAACTTAATAGCAACATAAATATATTATAAAATATACTTTTGCGGTATTAAAAGCTAATATACAGTACTCACTCAGGATCATTATTCATAAGTAATCAATTATTATTAAATTAAAATTTAACACATACATCACAGTGACCTACACTTACTGTATAGTAGAGCAGTATCGTTTGCCCACCATTTTATTTGTTAATTTAAATACATCACCCAAACTAAAGTTGTATTTAAATATAGTTCTATGAAAGTGTTATTCATATAATCATGGTCAGATTTAGGGTTGTGGGGGCCCCTGGGCCCACATAAGATTGAAATATAAAAATTTTTAGTTGATCTACATGCTTAAAAACTTAAACATTAAAATTATATTACTTTGCTTATTGAACATAATTAATACAGATATATAAAATGTTAATACAAGTAACCTTTAAAGTTATCTCTTTTTATTTTTTAGCCCAATCTAGTGATTTGTTTACTAAAAAAAAAAATAGAATATTTTTTTGCAAAATACTAGAAAAATTAAAAAAAAGGTAATTATTTTGTGGGGACCTCTTATTAATTGAATCTTGTGGGACCCTCCATAAATCCGGCCTTGCATATAATTATATTTCAACAAATGCTATAAGTAAAATTTTAATGAACAAGCTTAACATTTTCAAATTGTTTTTGAATACCTTGTTGAAATAATCATATATTCATATACAATTTAAATGGTTTAAATTATAAAATAATCTTGTATATAGGTAATATCATAAAATATGATATCCATCATTCATGTTGTATTGTTGTTTTATAATAACTAGTTAAACAATATAATATACAAGGTGATTCTTTTATCATGACCACTAATTATTTCAAAAAGTATCAATGTTTTTGAAAATATTTTTTTACATAGTTTCATGATGTTAAAAAAACAACGTTTTTATTAAAAAGTTATATTTTTATCCTTATAATTTTTTAAGTTTTTTACTTTTTTGAATGACAGCATACAGTTTTAATTTCATATTCCAAAGCACAATAGTTTTCTAAGAATTTTGATTCATAAAAATCGAATTTATGACGAGTAGTTTATGAGTTATAACTTATAAGTATTTGAAGTTTAGTCAAGCGGAGAAGTGAACAAACATTTTGCGGGGTAACCCCGTACGAATCTCGGACGAAAAGTCCGGGGACAAAAAGTCAGAGTACATTTTTACTGTCGGACAAAAAGTCTGAAAATACAGAATTGTCTATTACCTAAATTTGCATTTATAATTAAAATGTACCTAATATTATATAATATTATTATTATTATTTTGGTATATACATGTAATACTATAGGTAGGTATATAGTCAGTTCATATAATATATGAAAAAAATATAAATTTAAATAAATATAAATTATTATATAATTTATATTATTATAATATATTTAAATAATTATTTATTTCAAAAATGTAATTTTTATACTTACCTATATTAAAATATCATATTTTTTTTATATTTTCTTATTCTTACTATTATTTATACCTAACAAGAATAATATCTACGGTTTAGATAACATATGACTATACCTACAGGCTACAATACCGATAATCAATATTATTACCATGATTATTATATAAATCTAGATATTATATTATATAGTTACCGATAATATAATGTACATTTATCTCATCGATATAATCGATTTCACGAGGGACTTAGAGGACGTGAATTATAAATTGAATTTGTCACTTAGTCAGTCGTAACTCGTAGGTATAATAGAAAATTTTGTATTTTCGGACTTTGTGTACGACAGTAAAAATGTGCTCTGACTTTTTGTCCGGCAATCAAAAAATGAATCCGGAATTTTTGTCCAACTTTTTTCATACCGGACTTTTTGTCCGTTTACCACCCAGTACCACTCCATTCCGCTCATATAAACTTTAAATACTTATAACTCATAAACTAATCGTCCAAAAATCGATTTTTATGTATCAAAATACTTAGAAAAATATTCTGCTTTGGAATATGAAATTAAAACTCTACGTCGTCATTCAAAAAAGTAAAAAGTAAAAAAATTATAAGGATAAAAAATATTTAAAAATATAATTTTTTAGTAAAAACGATGTTTTTTTTAACAACATGAAACTATGTAAAAAAATATTTTCAATAACATTGATACTTTTCGAAATAATGAGTGGTTCATGATAAAAAAATTACCCTGTATACCATAAGTATTTATCTATGGATAATAATTAATAATTTATTCTCATTATTTAATAAGTATAAAATTATATATTATATTATTATTAGATATTCGTTGTATTCAAAGATAAAAAAAAAAGGTTCATTTAATAGTGTTACATGCGGCCCTTCAGGGATCCAAAAGCTGGTGTACTTGATAAATAATAATAGTCAATTAGAATGGTAATCAAATGTATTATATTAAACCAGACAAAACAAGCAGAATAATAGTGTTGATTGTAGCGAATTGTAGCTCGTTCCGAAGTTGATAATCTCCGTGTAAGTCGTGTGTGATGGCTGGGCGGCTAAGCGAGTCGTGTGTTGTTCTCGTCTCTGGATACATCTACTCAGGCTGTCTCGCTGTCCCCTATATATATGGTGGCGGCGTCCTTTGAAGTGAGCGGCGCGTGTACAGTCGTCCTTGATATGGACCTCACGACTATGAAAGTGGTATTCGTAGTCGAAAACACTTTTGGGTGTGGTCGCATTCC